TGGGTTTTCTCTGCACGGGCATATTTTGTATTTGCCTGCACCTTTGCCAAGATTGCACTACAATAGAAACTATTCTGAAGGCTTACGTAGGGTACAGCATACAGTCAGTATTCAGATTAACAATACACTTGGAACGTAAGGAAAGAAAAAGGCTAAGGCAGAGTACGAGTGCTATAGACGCCATTATAAAGGCTTACGTAGGTACAGTCAGTATTCAGATTAACAATACACTCGGAACGCAAGGAAATAATAAGGCTAAGGCAGGGTACGAGTGCTACTTAGAACAACAATAAAAACGGTACATAGGATTATAAATGCTTACGCAGGGTACAGTCAGTATTCAGATTAACAATACACTTGAAACGCAAGGAAAGAATAAGGCTAAGGCAGGGTACGAGCGCTACAATAGAAACTATGTAGGATTAAAAAGGCTTACGTAGGGAACAGTCAGTATTCAGATTAACAATACACTCGAAATGCAAGGAAATAATAAGGCAAAGGCAGGGTACGAGCACTACTTAGAAGAACAATAAAAACGGTACGTAGGATTATAAATGCTTACGCAGGGTACAGTCAGTATTCAGATAAACAAGACAAATACATTGTATGCCTGTAAAAGCTAAAGGCCACCGTCGGGTACTGTCACTCTGAAAGCAAGACGAAAGTTAGGCACGAAATGGGGAACGTTCGACAAATGTGCTCGTGTGAATATCAATGATGAGGAGAGGGCACTTGTTTTAAATGCATATCGCCATAAGTTTACAAACAAAGAAGATGTTTATGGAGTAAATCATAAGTTTATAGAGTAAATCACCAATGTTTAACTACGCTGAGAAAAAAGTTTGGGTCATTACGTTTAAAATTAACCTTAACTGAATCTCCAATGGAAAGAAATTTAAATAAAATTATGCTTTAACAAATTGTCTACATGTCATGCATAACGTTCTTTGATCTGTATAATAGCTTGGAAGAAGTTCCCCTTTGGGATATATTACTAAACGATCATGTGCAGGGGCGGCGGAAATGGGGTAGGGCTGGAGGGCATCAATGTGCCTCCTCGAGGTGAAAACAAAAATGGCACTAACGTTTCGGATAATTTGTTTTAGTTCTGATAAGAACGAGGAATATGAAAACCAAGCTCCCAAACCCTTACAATTCGCCCTGAAAAAAAGGGCACATAAGGCCAAAAAAAATAAGTCGGTCTCTGGTAAGCGCGCGCGTCGATTTTATTCATGCACGTCGATCTTTTTTTTTTCCAAAATGTTCCGCGGTAGCTCCAACAGCGCCCTCTATTTCCGCCCCTCCTCATTTTTTTTTTTTACCAAAGAGCACCAAGGAATGGGAAATTGCCACAAGGCAAATGATCGAAAGCACAAAGGCAAATTATGGAGGACACCAGTGTACATGAGGACACGAAAAAAGCAAAATAGTACCCCACCTTGTCTGTACAATCCAAGCTTGGAGAAAGAAAACCCCCCCCCCCAAAAAAAAAGCCGCGTGGCCGCGTCAATTCCGGAACTTTGGTCTGACCAGAGACAGATTTTATTTTTTTTGGCCTAATGCGTAGTTTTCATAATGGCCGGTTTTGAAGAGCGCGCCCAATTGTGGAAGATGATCCCAGTAGCCCCCCTTCCCCATTCGATTTTACGGAGGCCAAGTGTCCGGTGAAAAAAATAACGTGTCGACATTTCAGCACGGAGGTCCCCTCCATATTTTTTTGGGTGATGCCCCCCCCCCCCCTCCCCTCCCAGTTTGAAAACCGTTCCGCTGCCGCTGTACATGTGAAATGGCAGATCAATGTTTCCATACATAAACGTTTGCATAGTTAATTTGGCTGACCATTGTTATATTTGAATTATGTAAAAAAAAAAAAAAAAAAAAAGGATATTATTTTGCAATTTCAGACGGCTTCCTTCAATAAAATTTATCTATCAAAAAGTAAAATTAAAAGTGTATTAGATATGTCTACATGCTGAACGCTCATGAACTTCTTTCACTTGGTAATTTGGTTCAATACCTTACTATATTTTTTGTGGGAATTAGGGAATTGACAAGTTAATGTTTCTGTAAGAGCATGCCTAGTGGTGCATTTCCTTGGTTAGCCTGAGCGTGCCATATACAGAGCTGACAGAGATGGGTGTGTAGCCTGAAGACCCACGACAGTCAAATTGAATAAAGCACTCAAGTAACTCAGGTAGTGCAGCCTCTTTGTCCAAATTTATTCTCTCCTTAATGAAGTTAATCTCAAATTCATCAGGACTAATCCCTAACAAAAAGCTTCTTGAAAATCCGGAAAGTGGCAAGAGTCCCTGGCCAAATACCTTGTAAATCCCTGGACAATGTCGCTACTACCCTCTCTCACCGCGTATTTGTGAATCACAGCGATCTTCAACGCACTCGTCGCCACGCAAAGTCAAGGCAGCACCGAAGAGGGCAAAGAGTTCTAGCGCTTCCAAGTTGCGTCCGTTGGCCACCAGGCGAAGAATCCCGATACCTTTTCTCTTCCTGAAGGAGTACCGCCAACCAGCCCAGCAGACAGTTTGGAAATTCCATCGATGGTGTCAGTCCGTTACGGAAATTCACCCAATGTTATTTCGGCGGAGACCGCCTTATTCATCTCGACGGCCCGGTGTTCTCAGCGAGTTTATCAACGGGCAGAGGATCATTTCCTGTGCAAGCTTCATAGGTTCCCGCCGCCGTCAGCGGGTCTTTATCGGCCCTTACCGGTGCTGCCAAATGGATAACCTTCGTTCTCCGTTGCTGCAGTGGCTAGCCCACGCATTTCCCAGACGCATTCACCGTGTATCAACTAAGTTTACTCAGCATTCCCTGATGTTGAGCATGCGCAGATACGTGAAGCGATCTTTTTTATTTCAGGACTAGAAAATTGGGGGCATTTTACGGAATCATAACAACCTATCATATGGAATTTCGTGTCTCATTTTGGGCGCCCCCATCGGTCAGTTATAGATACGACGATATATACTTTGGCGCTGCTTTATTTTTAGTGTCATTTTACAGTACAGATGTTAACTCGGTTTTGCAAATGTTATAATCTGAAGATGTTATAATCTGTTTGGATTTATAAAATTAATGTAAAAATCTCACAGTTTTATTTTAGTATGTACCCCCTGAAGTAAGGCTTACTACTTCTTAAGACAGTTAATTAAAAGTCTAAATATATATTGATTAAAGCAAAATGAAATCAAAATTGCACCAAGCAGTCAAAGAAAACTATCCAAGAAATACATATTAATTTCTGTAGTATACCAAACCCCTTAAACAGCGCTCTCCTGTAGTGGTCGCTATACTTTTCGTCTATGTCTGGTGTCGATTGTAGGCTGGATTACACGTAAAGTGTAAGGCTCGTCGTGGTAACGCCCTCTCCCGGCGGTGGATTATCGCCGCGCAGGCATATTATCGCGTATCTATAACAACGTCTTGACCCAAGACTACTTCAAAACCAAGGGTTACCAAAACTGAGGGGTGGGGGTGACTCTGCAAATTAATGTGTATTCGTCGTTTCAGTACATGGCAGTAAGTCTATGAGCACACCTTATCCACAATTGAGCACAGCTTTGAATTCACAGCTTTGGTATCACAGTCGAATAGAAAACCACAGACTGAAGAGTCTGCGCTCTCAAGCAGTTATCATCTCGAGATAAAGATGATTTTCTTTTTTGTAATTTGCTATTTGCCTTTAAAATGTAAATGTGACATCGGACAAAATACACAATTTACTGACGTTGAGTAAAACTGGTGCAGCGCGCTGTGCGTCGTATACCGTACGACGGGGTCACAGCCGGGTCAAGTCAGCGGACAAAACACAGTCAGGTACGTGAACATTTTAGTGCATCACGCCATGCGTGTACAACCACTGCCTTGTGAGGTACCGGAACAATGGGAGGTACACAAGGAATGCCCACCGACTTAAGTCTGTGGGCAAATATATCTATTTCGTGAAAACTTATGGGGTACCTAAACGGTACCCCGTTAGTCGACTTGCGGTGTACCATTTTGGTACCCCAAAAGTTTTTCACGAAATAGATATATGAATTTTATTCAAAAACTAGGAATTTCCAAGGTGGGTTGATCTTAAGCAAATGGAAGAGTTTTAGAAAAGGGATATTAAGTCCGAATTTCAGCTCCAGGAAAGTAACTATGGTTAAAATAAGAGAGTTTTGACATAAGCGTGAGACGTTGCAAAATGTTAGTACACGAGAACAAAGGAAGTTCCCCACTTCTATGCCTATGTAAGCGTGTGCGTACTTGTACAGAAAAAGCAAATACATTTGCGAATGGCTGAGCCTACGAGTGTTACCATAGGAAACGTTCCGTTGGGAACGCAAAAGACAAGTAAGCCCGTGTTCCAAAATCATCAAACGTTCCTCGGAACGTTCCTTTTGGAAACGCTCGGTGTTCCCATATAAGAACACGCGCAGTGGGAACAGCGCGTGTTCCCAAAAAGACCAAACACGTTTACGTCTTGGAGTGACTGTTATTTTAGAAGCATTGATTTTGTTAGTAAGAGGCTCCGTGATAGTAACATGTACGTTGTATCTCTTTGCCCTGACAATGCACTCTGGATGGCTTTTTTGAAACTATTAAAAGCTCCTATATTCTCTTTCCGGAAATAAACATCCTCTTACACTTTCAGTTATGGTATATTTGATCAAAGTGTTGGTTTTTATAATATGTAGCGCTGCATAGTCAATACTGATTCTGAACAATTATTTTCTGCACAGATTCACGTGACCCTAGCCCTTCAGGACTTTCATTGTCAAAATAATACGTGACAACTACTTATTCAGCCATACACAATTATTGTTTATGTTTCAAAAGCCATCGACATAAGTTTCGCCTGTGACTAGCTTGAAATGAAAGAAAAACTATCGCGTGATGTCCCTTTATATTTAAGCTTGACTTCGTTACTTCACTGCAACGCGTAAGAGTTGCTTTCAGATTTGGGGACCATCCGACGTAACTGACGCTCTTCAGAAATGAATCAGTTGTACGCGTTGATTTGTATCTGCGTGTTTGGTGCCGCATGCCACCTTTCTTGTGGTAAGTCGAATAATACACAAAATATTTTGAATAGTAGTAACACAGTTTTCATATTGATTGTTAACTCCTATTGGATCTATAGTAATAAGTCAACTGTTATTATAACGACAAAAGACTGTAAAAAAAATCCACAAAAGGATCATTCATTTCTTAAATCCCATGAACATTCACAGATGAGGGAAATTTTGTCGGATTTTATGATGATTTTATCGTATGTTTCCATAGAGACGATTTTGACAGCCGTCGAGGGAGAAGATGTGAAGTTGGAATGCAAAGCGCTTGACTGGGCTGGGACTCCACCGTTCACTGGTCCAGCTTACGAATTCGAATGGTTTGTAAATACATCAACCATTGTCCAATGTAATTATACAACGACCCTTGCGGGGTATACGCCTGTACTTAACAAAACAAGTGGGACTTTGACGATCCCGCATGTTTCTGGATCCTTGAATGGCACAAAGTTCCACTGTCAAGTGTTACACGGAGGCGGAGTCAACATATCTTACATAGAACTCATCGTGTTTAATGGTAAGTTTTTCTAATATATTTTTCATGCTTATGGAAAAACATAATGAATCATTGTATTTATTTGTTTACATAAGTTACGGAATTTAGTTCTTGTGGCCCCAGGGTCAACGTTATTCTCACGGTTGAGATAAATAAAATTGATGAAAAAAGGGTGAATAGAGGGAAGTGTTTTTATCAGGAACACATTAAAAATATTTAGAATGTTTGACCAAAGTCCCTTCCATCAATTTCCTTTTAATATAAACGAACATAGCAGTGTTAGACACTTTTAACAGGTGCTACATGCATTCCCTCCATTGAATTGTGGAATATGAACAAAAGACAGATTGGAAAAAGGGACAAAGTTTGCCCCTAGCGTCAAATGCGGTCCATGTGCCCACCCTTCCCCGCATTATTGAGTTTGCACTGCCGACTAGCCGGTTGGTCTCCCCAAATATTTAAAATTTCAACAAAGAGGATGCTGCTTTTTCCGAAATGAGAAGGCTGAAGAATCCACCCCAAGTCTTTTTTTATGGCCGTGTGTCGGTTCATTTATCGTTAAAGCTTGCAAAGCATAACTATTTCTCATTTATACTTGATATACCTATGTGCAGGAATGGGAATTACTGAGACGACGTCAATGTTCAACGGGATAATAGGAGGAGGTATCGCCTTGGAATGCTTCGTCAAAAGTGTTCCATTCGGCTTTCCGAATATTAACTTCAAGTGGTTGCTTGGAAACAAACCCTTGCACGATGTGTGCACAGAAGAGGGCAACACTAAGACAGGGAAGTATGACTATCACCATGACAACCACGGTTGCAACTTGACGATTAACAGCCTCGAGTTAACTGACGAGGGGTGCTACAGATGCGAAGCTCAATATTCGGCTACGACGGTGTGGAAGAATTCAACCTTGACTGTTAATGGTGAGTTCAAACTGGATGTAACTGTCTTAATTAAAACAACTGGTCATTCAGGGATAAATTATTTATTGGCAACCGTTATGTTGGATTAACATACACATTTTCTTTTACATATAATTATAACAAATACCACGAGCAATGATCCAAAGCTAAAACATAAGAAGACAAGCAGATCTAGATTTTTTTCAGAATGAAACAAAAAAAACTGTTTCTTTCCACGGTGTATGCTGTTGATATATTTGCGGTACGAAATCTGCGTAGGCTGGTCCGCTACCCACGCTGGGCAACACTGGTCGTCACATTAGTCTTCCAAAAAGTCGATACGATGCTTTCCAGGTATTGCCTCGAAGGAGGCGTTAACTTGACCTTTGATCAGTATGTTCCAAAATCTGACCGGTATCTCTGTTTCTTAGCCGATGTATCAAGAACATAGGCGGTCTATACTCTACCGAGCATACTGGCCGTAACGTTGAATTAACGCTGCCGGTTGTTCTCAGAATCACTTCACTGTTCAGACGCAGTCACTTCACATGATGTTTACGCAAGGCATGTCCCCGGTGCTTTTGAAACCTTGACTAAACAACGCGGATAACAAACATGAAAACTCGAATGTTTAATTGAAGTACCCACTGATTGGGGAGTGCTGATAAGTGCTGATTTTCTACTAAAGTTCTTTTATAACTATTGCTGTTCTGGCGTCCTGATGCAAGTTGTAATGCGTTTCCGCAGCTCCACCTAATGATGTGTGCATCATCAACGCCACTACCGGCGAAATTTATAGCGGAGACGTGAACGTCGGACCGGACACCGACCAGACCTTTACCTGCCTGGCCACAGACACCAAACCCCCGGCAGTAATCACCTGGACATTCGCTGGAAAGAACACAAGCGGCAAGACGAGGGTAGTTGGGACGAGATTGCACAACACAAGCAGCACGTTTACAGTGCCGTCGTTTCAGCCTGGTCAGCGGGAGAATCTAACGTGCACGGCAACTGGGGCGGGAGGAAAGGTGGTCACGAATATTCGGTTGCTCAGCCAACATCAAAAATCAGGTACAGTGTTTTTGCTTGTGTGTCATTGCGTCTCTCCCCCCTCGTTTTCCCTGGCGTTTTGGATAACATAATATACTAAACATTAGGACAAAACATGTCTAAAAAATGCCTACTGATATGTTTTGCAAACATTCGAAAACGCAACTGCCAAATTGTCATCGAATAGCCTGAAATAAAGCGTCAGGCATCCTGTGAAATCGTAAATGTATGATGGTATTATGTTGTTATGCTAAACAAATTACTAACAATAACGATGGTTTGGACAGAGGCATCGCTGTAAGAACGACCTTGTTACTATGGGCGCAAACACAGCAGCTATTGACCTCGTGCATATGCTCCTTCACGCAGTTATCATACATGTAGGCGTACGAATAATGCACTTTTTCATCTAGGTGTTGTGAAACTGATCCTCTGTATTTTAAATGAATGCGTTGCTACCGTCTCGTTACTTGCCCCAAAATGGTTTTTTTTAAGTCATTAAAAAAACATCCTACAGATTTTGAAGGATTGCCAAAGCTATTAAGAAAGGTTGGATTAAAAAAAGATTATTTAGGTTTGAGTCTGAATTGCAATTGTGACCACAAGTATTGTCACCTGCAACATTGAAATTAGTCATCAGAATTAGTCTTCTAAGTAATTTAGAGTATGTGATTTTCTTTGACATTTTAACTTGACGTATTAAAGATGGAAGGGGGGACTTTGAAACTACAGGGCCATTCCGAACCGACAATGGAGATTTCGGATCAACAATTCACACACCGAGTGAGTTTATTTTTCAACTTGATTTGCGACTCACGCTTAACACTCATTAAGGTCGGCCAATTTTATCAACTGAGGGTAAAATCGCGGTCAATGGGGTAAATTTCACAAAAGGTTAGAACTGTGATTGACCAATCAAATTAGCCGTTTAGGCAGAAGGTTCCAGCTTAACTTGCGAGGTGTAGTATTAAGAGTAGATGTTGCACGAAAATATTGGAGTATTTTTTTTATTAGCTCTAATCTTCAATGTTGCTTCGATTTATCTATAACAGGTAGAGTATAGTTCCGTGCTATTGAAAATAATGAAATCGATGTATATAGACAAACTGCAAACACCACAATCATTGGGATTAAGAGTCAAAATGTTTATGGTCATGTTTGATTTGTTAAAATATAGTTAATATACAGCGACAGAGTGATTTGAAACCTGTCAAGATTTTTTTAACCGCATCTTTACATTTCATATGCAGACCCCTCGATGCAGAGTCAGATGTCTTTGATCTTCATTGCAGTTGGTATAGCAGCTGCACTTCTGCTTGTTCTTGTAGCGGCGATTGTCTGCTGGAAACGCCAAAGGGGTAAGTGTTTGTTTGGCAAACCCGGTTTACTATAAACCTTGCTTTTGATATTGGCTGTCTTACTACCGAGCTGTCGTACTGTCATACTGCTGTCATACTCGTACTGTAATCATATTCGGACTTACTGCCATACAGTAGTTGCTGCTATTCCTGATATACTGCTGCTGCGCTGCCATTCTGCTACTTTGAGGAACTGCTGCTGAGGAAATGCTGCAGCGTTAATGATCAGTTGTAGCTGCTAGCAATAATTTGTTGATATTCATTACCTTTGGACTTATGTTATTGTGTCATCAATTTGATACAACTGACCTACGTAGGAACCTCAATTTTTCTTGTATAGTATACGAATTAACGGTGGACATTAGGACTTTCTGCCACATCGGCAAATATTGGGCAAATATTACATTGCCTGTTAGTTCAGCCAATCACGCAATCTTCAAATAGTTTTCTTGATGTTTGCCAGTAATAAGTGAAAAATATATATTTGTTGAGATCAACGCTAAGGAAAACGGATGATCAGAACAGTATTGTTGATTGTCCAGAATACAATGTAATCGTAATGCGCTTCGAATGGAAAGGTCAATTGGAGTTCGTTACACCAGGAAACAGATGTGTCCTATATAAGCTTTATGGCAGCAAAATAAAACGAATAGGGAGGTGATTTCATTTTTTAAAGAGTTTCATTTTGTGTGCCTTAAAGTGTAAAATCGGAAAATCGAAAGTGTTCACATTGCACTTTCGCAATGAATCAAGGTAAACAATGAAGGTATACAGAAACGAATTGAAATGTTTCTTTTTGGTTTAATTTTGTTTTCACTCTATCTACAGATAACGTTCCTTCCGATGGAAACCAGTGAGTAAAATGTATTTTAAATATTGACAGTCAAAGGGGTTTCGCTTTGACAATGATTTATTTGAATTAGCAATGCAGGTCAGTTTCTTTTTGCACTTACACGATAGGTCGTTTAGGATATTAAAACTCATTTTAATGGTCGTCATTGCTGAAGTTATTTTTAAAACCTATATCATGCATGTTCTGATGACAAACTATATACGAACAGTGCATGCTGGAATATATTAAACAAATGAAAACTTACAGATGTTTCAAACGATTCCTTCGAAGAAAGCCATTCGATTACTGTTTTTATATGGCTTCTAGAGCCATTAATTTGTCATGGAGTGACTGATACAGTCGCGCAATCTGGTGCAATACTCATGCTTGTAATATAACTGCCATATACTATTTGACAAGACTAGGCACATTACACAAAGAGTCCTTGTTGATGATAGGTCTTTCTGAAGTTACATTTATAGGAAAAAAAATCTCCGTAAAATCACCATGTACTGTTTTCCTGTAAAAAACTGCATGAATTTTGCCGATGAACACACGTAACATGTAACAAGCAGACACTATAAGCTTCAAATTTAATATCGTTATTTTGCTAACATGCTATTTCCAGGCCTGTAGTTCACTACACACGGACTGGCCCCGACAGGCCCACGGCGTCTGTGAGTCCTGTCTTGAGCACAGTCGTGGGACCATCAGGTAAACTAAGCTGAGTGCCTGAGTGCCGAGAGTGGGATCTTCGTATTCAAAATTTAAACGGAAGTAGGAAATATTTAAGGGACAGGGCCGCTGGAATGTTACCTTACGCGCATCGAACAATGATAACGATCATGTCCAGTAACTAAAGGATGACGATTCGCTCTCTGCTTGATGTTGCGTTTCATTTTGACAGGATGCAACTTCTTTATTGATTCAAAGTCTTAAATGAGCTGATTCAATTGGATGGGTCTAATAAGGCCTCCTTGACCATTATATCCATTATGACCATACAGTGATCGAAGTCTATTATTAATTCTACCTTTAAAACCATATTGCCATTTTAAGAGATGCTTATTTCATGATTTTGGTAAATTTATTACAAGATGCAGGAAATATCTACGAAGAAAATACGTTCCTTCCGAGTAGCCAGTCGCCTCCTGCTGCCACAACGCCCTCTATCAGTAGCATTCAAGCAGCAAGGAACTTCCGACGTTACAATCCCGGTAATTGATTCAAAGCGTTATTTGATATAAAGTGATTAGTTAACTCCGCGTTTCGGTTAGTTACACACCGAAACGTTGAGTTAAAACCTGCTTCATGTCCGATCTACCTCTGCTTTATTGAAATACGACCAACACTGACTTCAAGTGGTGCATCCGGAAACATAATCAAAAATTGTATGTGTTTTGCAGGAAGATTTTTTACATGCCACACTTCTTTAACCTATGTCAACGGCTTTGGATGCTTTTGGTTTAAAAACTGATGTTCCAGCTTTCTATTTGCCTGGCTTTTTTTTTGTTTCAGGCAATAGGGAAGTTGAGACTGTTGTCCTCCCTGGTCCCCCGGTGGAGCAAAGCGATATGCCGACTACCAGCAACCAACAACCCGCCACCATTATTTCTAAGGAAGTATGTTAATTAAAAACGTATATATTCTTACCAACGTTACCAAACAAAATATGCATTCTGGTTACATTTCCGTGAACTTAAAAAAATTGTATACATTTCTTTGTCAAATAATAACATTTTCCAAATGCGACGTCGTGATATTTGCTTTTAAAGCAGTAATTTCTACCTATTTGTCTTGGCAGGTTCTCATGTACGCAGACCTCCATCACACCAAGACACACCCATTGGGCGTCCCGCCCATCCGCACTGAGCCTCCCACCCAGTACGCAGACAACGACAACTTCCTGATATCAACTCCTGTCGAGATCCCACCTCTTTTCAGAGACGACGCACCCAGCTTGGGTGTAGAGGGGCAGAGTGTGGATGATTTGGAGGAAGGGGGCAAGGAAGAGAGAGCTCCGCCCCGCCCCCTTCGCGGCAACCCGATCCCTTATCTGGTACGGGATTGGCAGATGTAGGCCCAACTGTGTATGAAATTATATTGAAATGCATGCTAATTGGCGAAATGTTTGAGGATCACTGGGCGAGCAGCCCAATAAGACCCGTACCAATCAGAGGAATATTTCACCACAATATACACTCTCGCTGACAGAAATGATTTAAGGAAAAATGGAGCTTTGTAATGTCACATGCATATAGCTTTATACGTAACAAATACACATATTTATTATGTTAAAATGAAAAGAAAGTCAAAGAATATGAAAACATGCACTTGTGAGGTAAAGTATGTATTACCTTTGACAATAATAACGCTTTTTTAGCCGTAAATTTCCACGCTTGATATAAACAAAAATTACAAAAACAAAAGACAGGCCTGTTCAGATGAAAGGTACAAGTGGATGACATGCATGGTAAACACGCTTTAGCTAAAAAAAAACCTGTTTGCTTTCGAGGATCAAGATCTCAACATTGACCGCTTGCTTGTTTGTCGTTGAATAATCCTTACGTTCTTTGAAATAAGCCTTCAAAAAAAATCGGCTGTTCGAATTGTTGAAACCGTAAGAGAAAAGAAAAAAAAACATAATTGTTAGAAAACAATCACCGTAGATTTGCAGTCCTGTGATGAATTTAAATTTACTCCATAATTATCACGTGTAATCTGTAAAGTAATGTTTCTTATATCCTGCACTGTTTTTACTTTTAGTGGGCCTGTTAGACAATATCTACTTGTACAGGTAAACGTCTGTTAAACAAAAAAATTAACGTAGTGGTTGTTAACATTGAGGTTAAATTTGGTTTAAGTCGAACAACATAACTGGGAGTAAAGTCGAGGGGTTTGTAGGTTATATTATAAATTAAAATTGAAAACTGTTTCAATGTTGAAGATAAAAAAAAATAGCCAACATTTTCATTTTAATTAAAATTATTTGTATTTTGATGCTACCACACTTTTTCAGGATGATTTCTGTTAAACATGGAATTTTATAAACAGTCCATGAATTCAGTCTAATAGAATACAACATTTAATAAGTCATAAACGAATATAATGTTGTCGACTTCATTGTAGATATAGACTTTATTAATGCGTGTAAAAAAGCAATGTTATAATTTGCGTTATAGCTGAATGTAAAGCATAAACAGTAATGACTTTGTCATGTTAATGGAAGATGTTTGTTGTTAATGTAATACATTTTGTTTTATTATCACAAAAGGGCGACATTTAAATTTAAATAATGTGATGCCGTCCTCGCTTGGCTAGGTATTTTTTACATCATGCCCACCGTGATTTAAGCACGTTGTGTTTTCCGTTGGGTCTTAAAATGAAACTATTTGATTATCCTCTTTATTTACATGTACTAAGAAGTTGCAAGTGTGCTTTTGCAGACAATTTTAAAGGTATATTTTGAGGATTTTGTTGTATTTTGGATAGATATTCCTTGGGCTATGATAGGGCCTGAGTGTGTCAGCGTGTTATGGCTGCCATGTTAGCTCGGTCTTACTTTCTTGAATTTTGATTATGCTGGGGACAAAAGTCAGTATTGAAGTCGCAAAAGGTTGTTTTTGTAACTCCTTGACATGGGATTTAGGGGGATTGAAAATGGATGGCTGATATTTTCAGGTTTTGCTGGCGAGAACTAGTCTCTTTTTTTTTTACAAGTGTATGTGAGTGCATGTATAGCCTACCTTGCTATTAATTGCTAAAAATTCTGACGTGTCTGACCAATTCTCCCTAAATGTTTCTTTTTGGCAAGTGTGGAATTTGTGTTTGTGTATTCCTCATGAGCCACATTTTTGGTCGATGCAAATCAGTTTGGGCGTGGCTTGGATATCTTGGGTGCTCAGATCTTCTGTTACAATGTGGTTTATTCCCATCGTTGTTGGTTCTTGTCAGCAGTTGGGTGTTTGTTCAATCAGACGAGTCAAATGTTTGCATTATTTTTGAAATCTATATTTTTCTGTCTGCCTTGGTCGCACACCTTATAATTGTAAATGTTTAGTGTTTAAATGAAAAGTGAAATTTGGTGTTGATGTAAATTTGCCGGCGTATACATTTGTTTTATAATTTGTATTTGTTAAATTGTCCATGTGTAGTAATTCAATTAAGTGTGTAGTTTTCTCTTGAAATTAAGAAGCCAGCAGCTTCACTCCTCTAATTTGGGATTGCATCTAATTTGATTATTTGAAACACATTTTTGTATGATGAAAAGCGAGTTTGGTAAAGTAAAGGAAATGTATATATTTTCTGAGATCCGAATGTGCGTTTAGTAACGAATTAAATAATAATCAAAAGGGAGCTTCAATCAAAAATTTTCAACTTATATTTCCATAATCAAGTTTGTGAGTTTGTAAGGATTGTAATTAGAGGATCAAAGTGGCCATCCTTCCCTCTCGGTACGTAACAAAAACATACAACCCCACCATTATTGATAACATTTCGGTATACTTACACTTGTGTAGATATTGTAACTCGCCGATTGCAAGCGATAAGTGCGGCAGTTAAAACCAAACACCATATAAATTGTAAAAGAAGATTCTAGACTATTCTTTTGTAGTTTTTATTGGGAAACATTAGGGGCAATGCTCGACACGGTTTGTTTGTGAACCACCTGGCTGCAGGCGCTCTAAATTGGTTTTTAAAAAATACCTCAAAATATAACACACAAATTTAACATTCGGGAACTGATCATACTGAAAATTACTTAGAGGTCTCATGATAATGATGTTTACTTTACCTCAATTTGCATGTGGACTCCTACTGGGCATGGTAAGCCTTCGTGAATCCATTTTGCCACTTTTTTCATCATCAACGTCATGTTGTGCGTTATAGCATTACTTTTTAGAGTGTTTCCATAGAGATAAAGTGTAGCATTAAACTATTCAATGTCTGAACGAAACACATCACGTGACAACCTTGACTTCAAGAAACGGTGATATTGGAGCATAATTATATATACCATGTATGGATCTGCATACAACACTCGGGCCTCTCCATTAACCATTGTATTTTGTGCTAGTGCACACTCTTTAGGCCTTTTACACAACGAAAACGTGACACACACACACATCAGACAGACAGATAGTTAGGATCTTTCCTATCTGATTCCTCTTCATATAATTGTTGTTTGTTGGTTATTTCCTCATTAACATGGCAGCATTAATTAATATCATGATTTTTAACACTTTTTTACACAATTTCTCACATGGAATTAGCTATGTTATAACATAATAGTGATAATGTAATATATAAGCTCAATATAAAGGTCTCAACCATTTGTCCCCCTCTTCATCAAAAGCTTGGATTTGTAATAATTGAAAATGTTTCATATACATATAAATAACACCTCGTCTTAAAAGAACATGCTGACAAAATATGATGAATTTCTGAGCACTTTGCGGTACATTACGTGCAGCAAGATTAAGATATCATACATTTATATATTATATCCGTAAACATGGACATGAAAAATCATGTCCATGTTGCACTGCATGTGAGCATCTACCCCCGTAAATAGCCATACGTCGTTGCTTTGTCTGGACTTTTGAAAGCCCGGGATGAAGACAATCCGTTTACAGTCTCAAAATTTTACGGTGCTACCCAAGAACTTCTGTTGACACAGGATCTGTCATTCCCAAGAAATCTGAGGGAAAAATAGAGGAAGATACGAACGGTTAGACATTTTGGTTTATGAGATTTTCTGCGAGGTCACGCACGGTCTCTTGAATCCTTTGCGTGCAAAACGGTAGGAGCCCTCCGCCTTTCTGGAAATAAACGGTACACTTCAATAAATTCTTGCAAACTGGTAAAACTTGTGTTTTTTATTACTTGATTTACGCACCGAACACTGGATAGGCAATTATTGTTGTAATACCTGCCCAGAGTCACGTGACCCTATATGAGATGGTCAAAATAATACCTGATAGCTACACATCCAGCGACTTACTGGAATTAATCATACGTTAAACACCATTTCCCTATTTCGGTTTCACTTCTTTGTAATCGCTGCAACGCGTTGGATTTGCTTGACATATTTGGGGACTGACAGACAACTGAATCTCTTCAGAAATGAATCCGTTATACGGGATGATTTGTATCTGCGTGTTTGGTGCCGTATGTCACCTTTCTTGTGGTAAGTCAAATTATGTCAACGATATTTTGAAGAAAACTAAAACACTGTAATGCTAATTTTTAACTCATGTTGTATCCCTTTCTCGTTGGGTTGACGGTTATTCTCACAAAAAGGCCTAACATTTACAAGAGAATCATCAATTTCGAAAGTCGCGATGAGCATTCACAAATGAGGGTATTTACTGATTTGGGATTTTTTTTGTAATGCGTTTTCATAGAGACGATTTTGACAGCCGTGGAGGGAGAGGAGGTGGAGCTGGAATGCAAAGCACTCGACTGGGCGGTGATTCCACCATGCAGTGGTACGGGTGTCACGTTCGAATGGGTACTAAATATATCAACCGTTGTCACATGTACATCTACGTCGCCCATTGCGGGGTATACGCCTGTACTTAACAAGACAAGCGGGGCTCTGACGATCCCTCATGTTTCTGGGTCCTTGAATGGCACAAAGTTCTACTGTGACGTGTTAAAAGGAGCAGGAACCATCATATCTGAAATAGAACTGATCGTGTTTAAAGGTAAGTCTTTTTAGTATATAATTAATGCATGGAGAAAAAATCGTGAATCTTTATATTTATTGGTTACATACGTCTGAACAGCGTTAGCGTTTATTAGCGTTAAGTGTTTCTAACAGAGTAAAAACGTACATGAATAACATTTTGAATGTTTGTTTTGGGTAAAAAAATGCAACAAGGGCCATTCCCCTACCAAAATGTTCCATTAGAATTAAACCAAAAGAGAGGTGGTGACGACTGTTTTCAAACCCGTGCTACTTATTTCCATTTCCTCTACGGAGTTCGTTAATTACTTCGTATAAAGCTAGATAGGAACAGGGGAAAAGAGCGCCCTATAACGTTAAATGAGGACCAGTGCGTCCCCCGCCCTTTC